TGTTGACATGGGCTTCCCTGCAGACAAATCCAGTCGGGCTTTACGAATGACACAATCCGGCACTGATGTCCAGGCTGCTGTTAGCTTACTTCTCACCCAAGCGCATGAAGAATCACGCCAAAAGTCGAAGAATCGACCAACTCCGGATGAACGGTTCACCGAGCAGCCGAGCAGAAGTCGCGATCGCAGTGAAAGGTCTGGGCGTGACGCACCTTCATGGATGCAGCAGGAGCGGTCACGCAGCAATAATCGAACCTCTTCGCCGGCAGAGAAGGATCCGTCACAGCTTGCGGCGACTTTTGGAAACAACCTGCTCAAGACAGCGAACTCTCTGTGGAAGACTGGCAGCAAGAAAATGCAGCAAGTGGTTCAGGAGCTCAATGCTGACCACGATGCAAACCAACCTCGCTGGCTGAGAGACGCTGCTTCGCATGAAGAGCCCCCGTCCCGTGATCGTTCTCACGTTGCTAGTCAGCCCCAAGCCCGACCTGAATTGATGACAGACGAGGCGCTCCTATTAGAATCAGGTGGTCCTCCTCGTCCGTCTCGCAATGCCATGCGGTCCGCCGACGGGCCTTCATCTCGTCCAAGCAGCAATGGTGCTAGACACCAGCCGTCTCCAGTTAGCGAGCGGCGTATGCAACAACCCGCCTTTATGCAACAGCAGCCAAGAGCAGAGACTAGAGACCCTAGATCCCGGTTAACGAAAACAGCTTCGGAGGAGCAGTCAGCACAGGCATATGTCAGTCCTGCGCGGAGAAAACGCCCCGTTGCCCCATCGCCTGCCCCGGAACCCAACGTCGATTTGTTTGAGAGTTCTGCGCCAGCGTCTGTCCAGCGGCCGAAGCCCTCCCCTGCACCTGCACAACCACCAAGGAGATCAACACCATCCACCGCTTTACCTTCAAGGCCCAAGGCTCCGCCCCGTGCTGTTCCGCCAGTTGCTCAGGATGTCCTCTCCTCTTTGCATCGGCAGCGTGAACTAGCAGCCGAGGCCTACAAGAGGGGCGACTACGCCGCTGCACATGAGGCTTTTACAGCGGCACTCACACCGCTGCCAAACAAGCACCCTATCACGATCATTATTCGCAGCAATCGCGCCATGACTGCGCTAAAAACTGGAGATCCCAAGGCGGCAATTAGCGATGCGGACACTATGCTGGAGGTCATCGGTCCTTTGAAGGGAGAAGGCGAGAGTATCGACCTCCTCAATGGAGAGCCCACTAAGCCAATGAAGGATTTCTTCGGCAAGGCTCTGATGCGCAAGGCTGAAGCCCTGGAGCAATTGGAGCGATGGGCGGACGCCGCTCAGGCGTGGAAGTTGGCCGTGGAGAATGGCCATGGTGGCAGCACCAGTATCCAAGGCCGCAACCGATGCGAGAAAGCGGCTGGTATCAACAAGCCCGCCCCGAAACCAGCAGCCCCTGCAAGACGTCCTCCTGCCCCCGCTCCGAAGAAGGCCTCTGCTCTGGATGACATTCAGGGCTCTTCATCTGGCACCTCTTTCGAGGCGGTCAATCGCCTGCGGGAGGCCAACCAAGCAGCAGAGCGTGCAGATGAAGAGAAGTTTGCGCTCTCCGAAAGTGTAGATGCTCGCTTGGCGGCCTGGAAGAATGGGAAACAAGACAACCTGCGAGCCCTTCTGGGCAGCTTGGATACCGTCCTCTGGCCGGAAGCCGGGTGGAAGAAGGTCAACATGTCCGAACTGATCATCCCCAACAAGGTGAAGATTCAGTACATGAAGGGAATATCCAAGGTACACCCGGACAAGGTATGCATTATTGCTCTCCATCACCAAGATATATAAGAGGCTTGACTGTCTAACCCATCATCAACCAGATCCCCACAAACGCCACCACCGAGCAACGCATGATCGCCGGTGCCGTATTCGGCGCTCTAAACGATGCATGGGACAAGTTCAAGAAGGAAAACAACCTTTAGAGACTTCCATGACCTATCTCTACCCTCTTCCTTCAACTCCTTTCTCGATTGACCATTTATGCCACGTCGTTTTGCTACGCCATCCTGACTCGTCATTCTATTTAAATCCTTCATATTTGCGACCTTCTGACCCATGCATGCATCCTTGGCGTGGCTTTATTCATTCCACAACCCTTTCTGCTTACGAGGTCGTCATTTATGCTTTTGCACGTGCATTCGTCATATTTTCGATCTTCATGCGCACATACTATTTTTTGTACATATATAGACTTATACCTACCTACCTACCATTTCTGCCTACTTGACAGTTACTGCCAATGAAAAGAAAATCAATCGACGCATACCCCTTCTATCTTGGATACATCCTATATGTTGACCTATTGGCCGAATAAATTGGTAGTCAAGGCTGTCATGTATCGGCCTCCCATCAATGCGAGCATTGAGCACCCCCAGTACTATTGGTCCGTTCAACTTCTAATACTTCTGTTTTATGGAGATAGTAAAGAAGGTGAGAAGTAGTGTACAAAGTGATGTAGTATTTATCCTGAACACGCTAAGTAATACTTTTATCTAATCTAACTCAAATTACAATAACGTAATAAGCTCTACTCAGCTTGCACAGGGGCAGCTGATTGCTCTTGTGCTACCGGTGCTGTCGATTCCCCTTGCTGCTGTTGCTGTTGCTTCTTCTGCTCCTCCTCTTCCCGCTCCTTCCGCTCCCTCTTGAGCTGTTTTCTCCCCTTAGGCTTCTCCGGTTGAGTCAAGTCAACTTGATGCGAAGGCCATTTCTCGCGGCATTTCTGCTCGTCTTCCTCGGTCCAGTCACGTGGAAGAACAGCGAATACAAGGTAGGATGTGTGCGTTTTCAGGTCCTGCTCGGAGCGGTGAACCAGGCGGCCTTGCTTGTAAGGTGGAATAGTCGAGGTGGGTTGTTGGGCGGGGGTTTCCTCTTCTTCGGTCTTAGCTTCTTGCTCTTTCTTGATCTCGGGCTTGGCCGCAGGCGTGCCGTTCTCCTCGTCATCTAGCTGGTGCATCATCTCGCGATATTTCCGGGAATGTTCCTCGACTTGGCGCATCTTGATGACGGCCTCGTCGACGTCCTTCGGGAATACTACTGCGCCGCGAACGCGCTCGTACTCCAGGCCGGTCTTTTCCCGTTTCACTTCGATGCGGTGGTGGTTTACCTCCACCATGGATATGGAGAGCCAGGAGAGCTGACGGAGGGTGCTGATGGTTCGTTGCACTTGCTCTAAGCATGGCGAGAATGTGCAGAGGTACACTGGGGAGTCGGGGTCGAGTGGGGATTCTCCACCGTCGGCAGGGTGGCGGACCAGATGCTTCAGAGCAAGCCAGGGAGCAGGCAGGTCCAGGAAGATAGCGTTGGCCTTGGGAGACTTGCCGGTCTTGGGATCGCCGAGCAGGAAACCGTCCTTGTAGACATCGCGATGCGTCACTTCGACTAGTCCATCCAAACCGTGTTCGTGTAGCTCCTGGCGCACTTTCTCTGCGCGTTGCTCGTGGTACTCGAAACTGCAGACCTTGCCGAGTCTTCTCTTCTTCGTCGCGGGCGAGTCGTCGGTGGGGTATCCGTTAAAGGCCGCTCGGACAGCCGCGTGCGTGAAAGATCCACTACCTGCTCCTGCTTCGATGACGGTGCTTCCGGGGCGAGCGCGCAGACGGTGGAGGATGTAGCTGTAGTCCGGGGTGTAGACGACCTGCGTGCGATGGGGAAGAGATGTCGTCCATAGTTCGGGAGTGGGGTAGACCAGGTGGAGGAAACCGCTGGATGCAGCGACGGCAGCCTTGGGAGACGATGTATTATCGCCTTCGACAGGAGTGGCCGAGTCTATCTCGTCTACTTTCCGCTTGAGCTTTTGGTTCTTCTTCTGGGGTCCGCGGCCTCGTCGCGATCCTGTGTCGACTTTGGAGGCGCCGATTTGCGCTCCCCATGGTTGGTCAACGAGGGTGGTGTGGGGGAAGGAGCCGAATCGCGTGGTCTCTACCTTGCCCTCTTTGTAGCCAGCGTCTTCGTCATCTTGAAGGCGGAGGACAGTCGGAATGGCCTGGTCGCGACGGAGGTGAAGGAGGGCGAGCTGATCGAGGCGCGAATGGGAGCCTGGGGTGAGGAATGGCGACGGCATGGTTGTGTATGTAATATGTTGTTTCGGACTATGGAATGAGCGACGCGAGCCAATTCCCCGCGCAAAAGCAAAGCTGCAGCATTCGACTTGAAGCTTTCAATGCGGCGTCACTTTCCTCTTCCATGCAGAACATCCTCTGCGCTAGACCTATCTTGGCTCGCGGGTAGGGCATAGGGCTATTGGCACGTGCTATTGAATTGGAGATCGTGGCATGCTTCTGATTGGTCGGCCTGATGAGCGTCAAGATAACGGGCGGCAGTATTGATATAGACCCTCATACCTCTAGAGTACTACCAATGCTCCGATTTACTTCAAGAGATCGGCCCAAATCGTTATATCAAGCTATACATAAACTACACTTCAATGTGCGAGATACGTTAAAATGAAATACAGAATGTCTCCTGCCACACCCTCCCCTCTCAGCTGATGTGTGACTTGTGAATCTCCCCGTGATCACATGCATGTAGCCGGTCAGCAATGGAGGCGACAAAGAAGTCACCGGTACCTTGCAAAGGAGTACAACTTTCCTTACATCTTACATGAAGACTGAAGAGATAACCAACTATCCAGCAGTTGGTGATTCGATCTTCTTTCTTTGTTGTGCTGCCATCAAACACACATCCCCTTCCTAGATTGTCCAGACGCAGATACCCTTTGGCTTGAACCTCGGCAACTCTGGCTTCCCCACAGCAGCGGCCGCGGCAAACAACCGTTGATTACTATTTACGGGGGTTTACCTAGCCTTCCCCATATTTGGTCTCCAACTACTGTCTGTCATCTTTAAGTAGAATTAGAGACGCATAAGATCATACACCTGAGCTTGTTTCATTCAAACCTTTTTGTCTTCTCCGTTCGCCTCCATTTGTCAACTGCCGAGAAAGTTACCGCCCCGACCCCTAGATTCAACGCACCGACACCATGCCTTTCAACACTGCTCTGACAAGAGCCCTGGGCATATCAGGTAGGAGGGCTTATACATTGGTCTTAACAGCCTGCTGATAATGTGCAGTCCCGGTCGTGCAGGGAGGTATGCAATGGGTGGGTTATGCAGAGCTTGCTGCTGCCGTCAGTAACGCTGGTGGACTGGGTATTGTACGTACAGTCTTGAGATAAGCCTGGGAAACAAAGGGTTTAGAATGCTAACTGCTCAGCTCACGGCCCTTACTCAACCGACCCCAGAAGATCTTCGCAAAGAGATCCGAAGGTGCAAGACCATGACCAAGAAGCCCTTCGCCGTGAACATCACCCTCCTCCCCGCACTCGTTCCCCCAGACTACGGCGCCTATGCCCAGGTGGTGATCGACGAAGGCATTAAGATTGTCGAGACAGCGGGAAATAACCCAGGCCCAGTGATTGAAAAACTCAAGAAGGCCAACACCACCATTCTTCACAAATGCACGACCATCCGTCATGCCAAGTCTGCGGTGAAGCTGGGAGTCGACTTCCTGTCCATTGACGGATTCGAATGCGCCGGCCACGTCGGCGAAACCGACATCACCAACTTCATTCTTCTAAGTCGCGCGCGTCAGGAGCTGAAGACTCCGTTCATTGCATCTGGAGGATTTGCTGATGGTCAGGGGCTGGCTGCTGCTCTGGCTCTTGGAGCCGAGGGTATCAATATGGGTACTCGGTTCATGTGCACGATTGAAGCACCCATTCACATCAATGTCAAGCAGGCAATCGTTAAGTCAGATGAGACGCAGACGGCTTTGGTCATGAGACGGTGGAAGAACACCACTCGCTTGTATGGAAACAAGGTGGCCAAGGAGGCTCTGAAGGTGGAGAAGGAAAGCAAGTCGGGCGAGTTCAGCGACATCGCGCCCTTCGTCAGTGGCAAACGCGGCAGAGAGGTTTTCTTGAATGGCGATATTGACTATGGAGTATGTTACCCCTATTCCGATTGGACTGGCTGCTTGCTAACGAAAACAGGTCTGGACTGCCGGTCAAGTCATTGGTCTGATCCACGATATTCCGACTTGCGCTGAGCTTCTTCAGCGAATCGAGAAGGAAGCCGTCGAAGCGCTGGACCGCTCCAGGTCGTTGCACACGGCAACCATCCCCAGCAAGCTGTAGAGGATGTGGATGGAGTCGATACCCGGTAACATGATTGGAGCGTACACTTGTGATTTAATTACAGACTAAGCAAGGAATAGAAGTGATTGTGTAAAGGCAACGACTGTAGCGACCCGTCAAATGCATAAATAGCCATCCCTTGCGGAGATTTCCACCACCAAGGGATGAACGAGGGAAACAGAGGTACTTCTGGGGAAAGAACACATGCGGAGCTGCACGATGACCAGATCATTTCCTGGGCCGAACGAGAAACTCTCGTGGCGGTTACACATGGTCATAATGACTCCTCCAAAAGGAGATGCTGGCGTCACAATGGATGCATCTCCCACTGCATCCTGACTTCGCCAATACTGGTCCTTACCGCCACTGAGGCTTCAGATATTGGGATCCGCATATGGCTTGCATGGAAATAGACTGTAGCAATACGAGCTTCTATACCAGAGTTCGCAGACCATTGTTGAGCAGAGAATGCTCACACAGGCTTCCAGAGTGCGAGAGGAAGGAAGATTTGGATGGACGTCCTTGCGTCCTAATCTTCCCTTTGGTCACTCCTTGCAGAGATGGACTACTTGCTTGTTGACTCGAAGTGCCTACTGAAGTTTGCTGGCGGACAGAGTCTAATCTGGGTTCATTCTACACTTCACATCCTCTATCCCGTGGGAGATTAGGTGCGATCATCAGCATCACGCACGACCAAACTCACTTGATGTACCTTGAACCATCACGATCCACGAACCCTACCGTGAACTGCAGTGCCAGTGGCAGACCCCCGCGTCCTTAATCTCAAAGATTCAATAAAATCCCCCGCATCAATCGCCGGGAGCAACTGTTACTATCGCCCCGACGACGAGAACAACATCACCACGGTTCACGCCGCTATAAATTGACAACACAAGCATCATGACAAACTCAATCCTCAACTCATCCCTCATGCAGCGTCCACGCAAGATGAAGTGTCTATCTTCCATTTTCCTACCCTGCTTGCAGGCACGGAAGCTCCGCCGTCAGCGACGGCAGGATTACCATGCCTCTTGGACATGTGCAGGTATCTCAGAACTTGCGCAGCCTACTGAGCCCTTCCCCGCCTACGAGCACGAGAAGCACCACCACGAGACAACGGAATTATCAGCTCTACCAGACCAGCCTCAAGATGCTGTCACCAAGACCCCACAGATGACACCCTCCATCCGTCTCGTCAATCCTGCGGACTCGGAGTGCTCAACCCTGGACGACCCGGATGAGAAGCAGCCACAAGGCGTCCAAGATGGTACCGCTGCGAAGCAGACCGGCACGCTCTCAGACGATGACACTGACGTCGATTCCAACTCTGAAAAGGCCTCCCGTGTCATTGACATGAAGGTCGGCCCTCAAAATGAAGAACTTCTCCCTCCCAAAGCCCATCTGTCGCCTAAGAGCAAAGACGACATTGATCTTGAGCTGTCTAGTCGCCGCATTCCCCGCAGCCCAGACAAAAAGCCTCGTCCTGCCAGCATGGACGTGCCTCCTAGCGCAGCAGCCAAACTGCCAGAGATCAAGAGCCGTATCATTGAGGACATTCCCGAGGATGTGGAAGAAGAGGACAAGCAGGATGCAGACATGAACCACGCTGGAGTTACAGACGAGAAAGTAAAGACAGAGGAAGAGCACGACTCTGAGACTGCCACAACCAAGCCTACCAAGCGCACCTCAACCTGGCGTCTCAGCCAGCGCAAATCGATGAACGAGCTCTTCAACCTTCTCCAATCCACCGCCGCAGCTGTCGCCGCCGCGCCCAAACTATCTAACCTCAAATTCGCCATTCCTCCCAAATCCCCTCTTCGCGCATCTCCTACGAACGAGTCACCACACCATTCATACGTCTCATCCGTCTCCTCCACGTCCATCCGCCCACCCACCCCTCCTCCCAAATCCCCCGTCCTCAGACCCAACAGCAGACCCCTCCCCGACCCAGCCCAGCTCTCATCATCCGCGCCACCCGCTTCAGGAACCAGCTTGGGAAGCCTCAGCTCAAGTCCTACGAAGAAGCAACGCCGAATGGGCACTGCTGTCTTCCCTCTCCTGCCGTGCAAATGGGCTGGTATTCACGACGGTGACTCGGAGGAGAAGCACAGCAACGATACTAACCGCAACAGCCAGACTCTTTTTCAGTAGCGACGGAGTTAGGTGTACCGGTTCAAGGCTTGTATTTTGTTGGTGTGTATGGTCCATATCGGAGGGTTTCGTGGGTGTTTTAAGGTCTGTTTTTGGTGCGGTGATTGTGACTGATTTGACTTGGGTTGACTGTTTCTTTTGATTGGGATTCTTTCTTTTCTTTTGTATCTTCTTTATTTTTCTCTCCCGACCTTCTCTTCTCTTTTTCTTGTCTTATTGTTTCTTTTTTCACTATCCTATTGGAGGAGTGAATGGTCCTATCCCGTGGGATGCCACTATCTACGCTGTCTGAAACAGCAACCGAGATACAAGTATTCGATGGGATTGGATGTGTGTATCACTACTAGCCTGACCGGCCTGGTTACTTTCTCTCTTTCTTCTTACTTACTTTCTTTCTTTGTCTTTTTCTCAGGATGATACGATACGAGGAGGAATTTATGGTGGGCTGTGATAATGGTGTAAGATACGCTGACTCGGTGGGATTGGATGGATGGATGAGATGGATCATACATACGCTTACATACAAACCCACTACATAACTAACCTATGCAGAGCATAATGATAATTTTATTAAAGAAACATACCTTTTACTTTTGATTAGTAGATAGAGACAGTATTAAGTTCCGGTGAAAGTAAACATCCATCGAGCCATCACACCAGGTTCTGTCCCTCTCGCCGCGTTCTATCTGCACTTGAGAGAGGAGAAAGAGACAAAAACTAGAGAGACAGTTTATTTGATTATCATGTGAAAGTCTTACTGGTACGTTCGATATAAGTAGGGAGTGATTCCACAACCGATAGCATACATGAGTAGTAGACAGAGTGATTGAGTGAGTTGTGAGTTGATAATAACAAAGAGATAGATGAAGCACCCCACTCACCCACCCACCACCTATTAAGGGGAATCATACGAGTTGATCATAGCTGTTTAGCACTCAAGCAGGCGGAATGAGATTCATATTCATGGCTGGAGAGGCCGATTGTCATTTTAAATTACTCCGCGGTGGTCTTGCGTAACATGGAGATATCTGTTGGTAGCCGGGTTACTATGGTTTGGATACTATATACCAAGGGGGACTTGAGGGAGATTTTCCTTCACACCTTGACTGGGATAAGTTTAGGGAAGATCGCGGGGGTGGGTGCATGGTACGGACTACAGTTCTGTTATTAAAGGTTTGCTTTAGTGAACAGGTAATGCGGCTTTTGTTTTGATGGTATACGAGAAAATGAATAGATAACGAAAGTTCGGTTTTACTATTGCTACTGGAGATTCTACAAATTTACTGTGGAAGCACTGGAAAGAGTATAGACAGAGTCTAATGCAATTAAGTTTCTATGCAACGAGACCAGCGCCCAAAAGCACCGGCAAATGCACGAAATGCAGTACAAACAAACAGAACAGTCTTTCTCCGAGGTGCCACACGCCACCAAGTTACTCGCACACGGTCAGTCCATGATGTTTCTCGGGCCCGAAGGCCAAGTACTAAATCAATAGTCCAACCACAAACGATTCCGTTGAGAAGCGTAGCCAAGCCCAAGCATAAGCTTGCCCGAAAGCAGCTTAAACGAGGGAGCCGAGAGCAATGCAGGGAAGACCAAGGCCGATGAGGTCGTCGTCCTGTTCCAGTTAGTTTGTGATGGTCTGCATGGTATTGGGAGATACTCACGGTGGTAGCGGGAGACGACTGGCAGCAAGCAATGTTCTGCTGGCACTGCTTGCTGATGATGTCCTGGACGGCGATCCCGATGATGGGGACTATGATCATTAGCTTTGGTGATTGATGTTATTGTTGTGAAATACTTACTCTGGAGAGGGAGCTTGGAGCACTCCTGGAAGAGACCAAGACCCTCGGAGCCAGATCCAGTACCAATGAGGTTGGACAGGGTACCAGCGAGGAGACCGCTGTCAACGTTGGTGCTGTCACCAGCGTAGGTGGCCTTGTTGCAGCAGGACAGCTGAGCCTGGTCACCGCACTTGTCTTCGGCCTGCTTGACAGTCATGTCGCCGGGGACGGGGAAGCGAACGTCGCTGTTGCCCTTGTTGCCAGCACCGTTGGCGTTGCCGGGGCCGTTGTCATCAACGGAGGATGGAGAACCACCGGGCATGGCCACGACGGTGGCAGCGAAAGCAAGAACAGCAGCAGTGATGGAGAACTTCATTGTGACGGTGGGTTTGGAATTGAACGAGAGTTAAAACTCGGAGTTGCTTGTAAAAGAGCGCTTGTCTGGAAAGACTGGACTGTAAGAGAGAGAAAGAAGGCTAATCAACGAATGTGATTGATGCTGATGAAGAGAATCGATTTCCGGGCGACTTCGAACACCCTTATATAGATTTCGGTGGAGGCCTCGAGCTCCTAGCCAAGACGCTGTAGGATGAGTGTTGTGCCTGCGGAACCCATTCATCCGCACATACACACTCGACCTGCTTCCCCTTGTGGAATGCGAGATGCAAGGACATCCCTTCTCGTTCCTGACCTCCTATGTCCCAATAGCTGTCATCGTAGCTCAACAGAGTCGGGCTCCCTAAGCAGTTGGCATGGATCGGCCCCTGGTCCAAGTCGTGCATGCCCGGCATCAATGCTGTTTCCGCATACCGTGAGATAGCATGACTGGGGTGCATTGCAGGCCAGCCAAGGTCTCATTCCTCCTCGCTTTCCCTGCAGATCCTCATGTATGCGCCTCGGGCGGCTAGCCTATTCTGTGATTCAACCTCATGTATGTATGGCTGGGAGTTGATTCCACAGCCATACTGGATATCCCTCGTCCAAGATTCACCTCTTTCATGCGCCACGAAGTGTCCAATCTCGCTTCTTCCCATATTGCTTCATCTTACTTGGTCCACCTAGCCACCATGCTATGACTGGGCCCGTGCAATGTTGTCCCACCTCACAGCTCGTGCGGTATGCAAGTAACTGCAAGAACACTCGTAAGCTCACAGAGCATATGCAATGGTATGTGCTCCTCTGCAAGGGATTCCTGACAGAAGATCGTTCTCTCAAACCACCCCAACTACGGAGTGCAAGTGGCAACGGAAGTTTCCTCCCCAGGACTCAGAGCCAGCAAGGGGTGTCCAATGAATCCCTGTTAATCTCCGAATTCCAATTTTGTTTCTAGGCATCTTGCCTCCTCTGTAATCTGAGCAGCTGGGGTCTAGTCCCTTGGAAGAGCCTACTGTAGGTTCCTAGTTCCTTGATAGCTATGAGGAAGCCCTTGAAGCCGGTATGGCTAGTAGATGGGTCTGAAACAGGTGACGAGGACGGCATCCATCCTACGGTGAGGAGCATTGTTACACTATAGTCGGGAAGCCATTCCGGGATAACATGCATCGGAAACATAGGTATGCGGCGTTTGAGGCAGTACCTTCGGGGGTATTGTGTGTTGTTCGGTGCGAAGATCATTGCGGTTGAGAGGTTGCTGGGGAAGTTGCAGGAGGAAGCTCGGATAATGCCTCTTTCCCGGGGCACGTGGCGGCCTTGCTGCCTGGACCGGCTCGCCAATTTGTTCCACGTGAAGCTGCATCTCGCATTTGGTATTTGTGTAACATGAAATATGAGCATCTGGAGCATGATCGGGTTGTATCTACAAGGTCACTAGCTTCATTACTGTGGATAGATAGTCACCCGTTCATTGCAAAAGAAGACCTGTCATCTTTGCCTAATTAAAGACCGTAGATAGTTGCAAGTAAGCGGTCACTACGTACATTGACTAGTGCTAGTAGCACTATTAGGGCATTCCTACTTGACCGGCAAGATATATATATATACTACTATATCATGCTCTCCACTACTATGGTAGTATACATCGCGACAAGTCGATCATACTGCTAATATTAATACTAGCAATATTGGTTATCAGCTTTCAAATCACTTCTTTTGTTACCAACTATGTGTTGTCACTATGAGTCCATCTTTCAGCAATTCATAAATCGTACAATATGACCTGATATAAGCATATAGGCCATCCACCATGCCCTACCCTGAAGCAAACAACAACACCAACACCAAGATACAAACATCCCCATATGGCAATACTACCTAGAATATAAACATCAAATCTACCAGGGCAACCGACTCCAAATTCATAATTATAGAACTACATGCTCTAATCTCCACCGCACCAAAAGTACCTTAATGCAGCATCGCCTCACCCTAAACCATTCTCTAATGCATTCATACTTTTCGATCGTACATGCTACATAATCCATCCAAGTAATAACCTCGTGCCACGATTCCCTGCAAGATCACCTCAAAGCCACGCCATCATGCATTGCATCTCGCATGCACAAGATACCAGCCGCCCACATATACCAAATAAAACCCATTCCAACAAGATATTTGGAAATCGCGACCTTGACCGGGCTAAACTCAACATTCATATTCATTCTCCTTGACAAAGCCTATTGTTAGGAACTTAACCTTGTAGTGAAGCTAAATCTTCCAAGGGTATCTAGCTCCCGTTCTTGGAAGAAAGCCTTGCCTTTCGCATAATTAGTCCGTGTGTATCCCTTGATTCGATCCCTACCCGGCCACCTCCCTGCTCTGATCCGGTATAGGATGTGATCGGCGCTTTGCTGGTCGGGGGTTTTCGGGTTATAGATTCCTGTGCCTTAGGTATACAGGAGACTTTAATTGGTGTAGTTTGGTGGATGTTAAGTTATATTTTCATCGTAGTGGTGGTGAATAGGTGTTAATTAGTCTCGTTGAGACACATTTCCATGGAGAATATTTAGTTCGAAATTCATTGTAGCATATCTGATAAGAACTGTATATACATTTCAATCAGTGAGTGCATTTACTATTCAAGTTTGTGAATATCTTATAATAGCAGACATCATGAAGCGGTCTATGTAGCTCAACAACTAGTATCTCCCCAATAATGATAATGATAGGCGTAGCCTGTACTTGACATTCCTGCCTAAGCGACTGTAACAATGCCATTTCTATATTGGATTACTCCAGGCTTATCATCTGTATATTCATATCACTGCAGGTAGTTGCTGTTTTACGTTGAGGGTCTAACTTGAATATACCTGCAAAGTGGTACAACATTGCGTCCTATTAATCCAAGCTATTCTGTTACAGGATATCACCTGCTATTCGGTTAATGCCAATTCAGTGGTCCTTTAGGTAGTCAGTGTTATTGAACGCTAGTACTACTTACCATCTTGAGGTTATTGATGTAGTACTAGTAGTGGTAGTAGTAGCAATGTGAACTCGGCATAATGCGGACTAGAAATATATATCGCTGGCAATTCCCGGTACATTGACAAGTAGGTAGTCCTGGTGAAGCGCACATGGAGTACCAATACTGGTCCTACCTGACTTCTTATAGCTGCATCCAGTAGGTCTACCAAACAAGCATATTACTTTGTACACGACCACTACATAAAGATAGAGACTGTTCAATCACTATACTTCATAACCAAGTGAATCTACCTCCTCCCCATCCAATCACACTGGGGACATCACATGATCCCGAAGCACATCTAACCTCTTTGGGTTAGAGGTAACTACCTCCATCAAGTCAGCTTAGTCATACCGGCAAATCCAACCTTCGGGATTCACATCATAAACCCAGCGAATGAAGCAGTGAAAGAACCCCAAGCACCCAGAGGACCGTTGACCTCTGCGCTTCTGCAATCCAAACCCGCAAACACCGCTCAGCTAGCAAGAGGGAAATAGCTAATCGCAGGAGAGATGTCCGCGAATCCTTCGACCGACGACAGCCCATCCGCGGCGGGATCTCCGCCCCAGGTCCCGGAGACCCGAGAATCGCAGCAGCACGAGGAGAAGACCCCGACCGCGGAGGAGACAACAACACCCGGCCCTGAAGCCAAGGAAAGAGAAGAGACAGAACAGGACAGTGACAAGGAACCAGGAGAAGAACTAGAGGAGGCAACCGCAGCAGAATCAGAAGCCGCACCCCCGTTACCGGACGAGGTTCCCCCGCCGCTCCCCAACGAAGTACCCCCAGGGGATAATGATAATAAAGACGACGGATGGGAACCCGTCTGGGACCCCACCGCCCAAGCCTATTACTTCTACAATCGCTTCACGGGTGTCTCGCAATGGGAGAACCCCCGTGTACCGGACGCGACAGCTAAGGCGGATGACAACACCGTCGCGGAGGACGCCGACGCTGCCGCCGGTCCCTCTTCCTCTGCTGCTGCTGCTACGACCACTGCTGTGGTAGGTGGCTATAATCCCGCCATTCATGGTGATTACGATCCTACGGCGCCTTATGCGCAGCAGTACGAGCAGCCCAACCAGGTCGCTGCGGGGGGAGGGGCGCTGGACCCGGAACAGGCATATGAGGCGGTGGGCGCGTTCAACCGGTTTACGGGGCGGTGGCAGGCGGCGTCACAGAATACAGAGTACCACAATGATGAGAATAAGTCGCACCGACAGATGTATGCATTCTTTGATGTGGATGCGGCGGCGAATAGTCATGATGGGCGGAGTCTGCGGGCGGAACGGAGTGCGAAGAAGTTAACCAAGAAGGAGCTGAAGATGTTCAAGGAGAAGAGGAGGGAGAAAAAGGAGGAAAAGAGACGGGCGTGGTTGAGGGATTGAAGCTGCTGCTGCTAGTGCTGCTCGATTGAACGAGCGCACTTCTTACTTTTGCTTTTTCTACTTGAGATACCTATTTCTGTTTGTTGTATGCTTATTGAGGATGCATGGCGTTGATGTAGTTATGGGTGCATGATAGAGCGGAATGTATAGTATATTGCATTTACAACAGCTAACCTAGTATTGCGTCCACTGTATACTTGTGTAGTTTTTGCGATAAGAGATGGATAAAGATGGATAAAGATGGGTGAGATCCACCTGGTCACCTGACCGGGCATCATCAAAGTTCTCCGCAGACATTAGTATTGTCTCGACCACGAAAGACAGCCGCATAGACGCTTGACGATTCACGCATATCGCTGAATGTAAGACTAGCCGCTCCTTCTTGTTCTCTGCGTTAGCAGTTCGTTTTTTTTTCTGAGCCTGTTTCAAACTTGATGGAGGGGCAATTCATGTGATGAGGGGCAATACTTTTTTTTTGCAGCAGAAAGATGGAGAAGAAGAGACCGGCGCCTTATACACAACACGATGGTGTGTTGGAGAACAGCGCTGTGATGTCAATTCTCACGGACAGAGCGCTTGTTCCCTTTAACATTTTTGTACCCTCTATCTACGAAGAAAGAGATTGGCCGCACGATATCAACTGATATCAAGTACCCCTCCACCCATCCATCCATGCATCCCACTTCAACACCACAACCTCCAAACACCCACATTGACCCAAAGCTAACGAGAACCAGACATACAACACAAGATACCCTACCACAACTCCAAACCCCCAACCAAACCCACACCAACACCAACAAACCCACCCATCCATCCAAAATGGTCACCCTAACCCCCGACACAATCGACGACCTAATCTACTCCGCGCGCGCCGGCGAACTCCAAGACCTCCAAACGGACCTAACCACCCTAGCCACCCAAACGTCCACTTCCCCGGCACACATCATTGCCGCAGCAATCGACACGGCGCCCCAGGAAGAAGGTGGAAGTGGGTCGAGTCTGTTGCATTACCCTGCTGCGAATGGGAACCTAGGTACATACATCCATCCATCCCCTTCCCTCCTTCTCCCCTGGGATATAACTGCATCTGCGACGCAACACATACTAATATGGGTATATATAGAAATCCTAACCTACCTCCTCACCACCCTAACCACCCTCCCCAGCCGTCCAGAAATCACCAAAGTCCTCAACCACCGGAACTACTCCGGAAACACGCCTTTGCACTGGGCGGCGCTGAACACGCATCTGGAGTGTGTGAAGGCGCTGGTAGAGGCGGGCGCGGATGTCGGGGTGAAGAATGATGCGGGGCTGGATGCGGTGTTTTTGGCGGAGCGGGCGGATTGGAAGACTCAGGAGGAGGGAGGGGATGATAATGGGGATGAGGAAGTTGAGGTGGAGATTGGTGGGGAGGGTGGAGAGCAGAAACAGGATGCTGGGGAGATGACGAGGGGGAGACAGGTTGTTGAGTGGTTGTTGAGTTCGGAGAAGGCGGCGGAGTCGTTGGAGAAGGCTGCTAGTAAGGAGAAGGATGAGAAGAAGGGTGGGGAGGAGGAGGGGGAGAAGATGGATACGACGAATTAATTTCTGTTTACGATATATAATCATGATGATGATGGGGGTGGAGGAGATGTTATGGCTTTACTAAGGTTGGTTTGGAGTATAGACTTGCATCATACATAACATAAAAGTTCATTGCGCTCTTGGTCTTTCGTGGTCTGGTCTTACTCTAGTTTACAAACATTGTATACAGTAAGTGGTATGAGGTTAGTCTCGTCGGGCTTTAGATGACGACGACGAGCTGGATCGTGAAGACGATGACCCCTTCACTGCGAGAGAATCTCCCCCAATCTCCCGCACTTTCATATCCAATCCTACGCGGAACTGTCGATCCCGCCAGATCACCGTCACGCCGCCATACACTGCCCATAGCCAGATCGGAAACGCCAGCATCTCCCGGCCCAGCCAGGCCGTGAACCACGCCCGGAAGGGCCGCCGCGTTACGCCTTGGGGCGGCCGCGCGAACGACGGCGTGTCTTCGTCCAGTTCCACCGTCTTGCCGCTGTGCAGCATGATGTACACGGTCCAGTCGATGAGAATCCACGTCACTATGCTCAGGCAGAAGAAGCCCCAGAATGCAGTCCAGGTGGATAGTGCCTCTGCAATGGCATACCCTTGGTCTCCGAGGTATTGTGCCAGAGCTGTCGTGGCACCCCATGCTCCGTAGAAAGAGCATAGAATTGACTCGGTGCCTGGCTCAACCAGCGTCGCGAGGACCACGGTGAACTTGCGCACGCGTAGCCACCGCACTCGGCGAGCCACATACGCCTGCACGCTCATGTTGGCAACAGGCTGGAAGGCCAGATCTCCGAACACCAGGGCGTGTTTGCCCCAGCGCTCTCCTTGCTCTTTCTCCCCGCGGACCTGTTTTCTCCAGAGCAGGTCTCCGATCAGGTGGTCTTCACAGATGTTATCTGAGAAGTAGTCGATGCCCGCGTTCCGCCGGTGGGGATCTGCCGGAGACGGCGCAGTGAGGTAGTCGAGATGCGAGCGGCGGAACATGTTCGACTTGCCCACGATGCATGGCGCGATCAGAACAGTGTTGATGGCAGTGTACATTTTCGCATGCGAGGAGGACAGGAACAGTTCTTCCAAGCGGCCACCACCGGTCGCCAGCATACCAGCCCCGTGGTCCATGACCATGGCGGTCTCGCTGCTGTCGCGACTGTCGTTTCGGTTTGTGTGAGCCTCCAACAGCGCTTCCTGCTCTTCCCTGAGACCAGCGGTCCCCGTCATGTCCACTGCAACCGGCAGGTGGTGCACGAACTTGTATCTCTTTGTCGAGTCGGCACCAGTCCCGCATAATTTGTCCACCATGCGTCCACAGACGCCTCTGCCGACCCACGCGTTGCAGTCGATAATCCAGACAATATCCCCTTTGGCTTCACGGTAGGCACGACTCATGTTCCGAATCTTGGGGTTGGGCCCCAAGTCGTAGGCGGGGACGTGGCCCGGCTGGAGTAACGGGTCATCGTCTTCGACGTAAAGCCGTGCATCGAACTGCGAGAAGTCCGACACCAGTTTCTGGAGGATAGGATAGGCAGGATCACTGCGAGAGGACACGCAGAAGCAAACAGTCAGCTTATCGCGAGGGTAGTCCTGTCGAAAAGTCGACGCCAGGCATTCGTAGAGATGGGGTTCGAGACCCTTCACCGGTCGGATCGCGGTGACGTGGGGGGCGTTCGAAGCCGATGCGGATGAAGATTTCCGGGGTTTCCTCAAATAAAAGTGCCATCTGATGGAAAGAGCAGGTGGAAAGTCAGCAAAGATGCCAAGCCTGATCGAGATGGGTTGGAGAGAAAGAGAAAGGTAGAGTTACAGCTGAAAGTAACCCAGCATGCAGACAGCCACCACGACGGTATACCAAATCAATCCCACCCAACCGGCCGCGACAGCCCACTGCCAACCGCCATGGTTGATGGCTGGTTCAGCATCGGGGGGTTGCGAACGCGACTGAGGCTCTAACATAGGCGGACACAGCGAGAGGCGGAGATCTGGCAGTAGGCAGAACAGGACGATGAGGACATTCTAGGGAAAGACGCAGACAAGCCAGCAGGCAGTGAGACGAGGGACGAAGTGGAGAGAACGAGAGAAATGCGGTCGGGGCCACAAGTCGTATTCGTTGCTTTTTATTATTTTTTTTCCCTCGACTGGGGAGCGACGGCCACGCAAACCGTCAAGCTGCAGCAAGAGACAGACGGTAGACAAGCAATGAACCGGCGAGCCGAAGGACACTAGTGTTCCAGTCGGATCCAGCGGATGGTTGGCTCGGGCGCTGCTGGTGGGTTTCACCGGCGAGGTTTTGTGCTGTTCATCTTTAGTTGGTTTAGTGAAACCGGCGGATGCTCGGATGCAGCCGCACTGCCTCCCCCCGGCCTCAGGCACAGTTCCACTATAAAACATTATATTTCACTGCCTGCTTGGATGCCATGGCTCCACGCTTATTATCTAGTCCATCGGACCTATCGGAGGAGTATTCAACCGGTTATATGGCCAGTAAGTAAGTAAATATGATATAGAAAAAAAAGTCCCAAAAATTGTCCTATTATACAAAATGCAAATCCATCCATCGCCAAATGCCCATCCAATTCCGACTCCGCATATGCAATTTACATGAGCTCGTCGGTGACCCCAAAAGAATACAATAAAAACTTAGCCAAACCGACATGAGTAGGGTCTGTTTACGTCTTTTTCTTCTTCCGGATCAAGTTGGCTTGGAGAACGTTGACAGCCGGCGATGGAACCGACCCAGAAGATGCCGGAGGAGCCGTCGTTGATGCTCCGGCGTTACCACCCTCATCACCAGTTTTGCTGTTCTGCTCAACTTCTGCATCGGGCTTCTTGCGCTTGCGAACAAGTCCGGTGGTCATGAGCGTATTGACCTCCACAGGTTTCTGGGAAGATTCATCCTTCGTGTTTCGTCCCACCACCAGCTGTCCAACCCAGAGTTGATCTGCGAGGGAGGCTACCTTTTCACCCCACGCCTTTGTGCTAGCAATAGAGGCCTCTTCAGTATCAAAATCTTGATCAAGCAGGAAGTTGATCGCCGTCTTGTAGTCTGCTTCGCTCAGAACCGCATGTCCTCGCCCAGCCTCAGGCCAATGAAAGGCATCGGCATCCGAGGGTTGCGGGGCTTGAGTTTTAGTTTCAGATAGTATAGCAGCTGGCTGGGGTGCTGAAGTAGAAGTAGAATCACCCGTAGGGTCTGATGACAGTTGCTTATCATGGTCTGTTGTAGGATGCTCTGGAGCGGATGCAGCATCACTAGCCGGCTTTGTACTTGTCACACTTTCTCCAGACATCACTTGGGACACATGGTCCGTCAGGCTCTTGGAGTCGCCAAGGACGGACCGAGAACTGGTCATCTGTACCGAGTTCACAAGTCCCGGAGGATTGATAACAAGCCACAAGAACCCAACCAGTCGCCCAGCCGAGCATTCTTGTCGGAACGACATCATCTCCCAGAACTGGTCCAGAGACCTGACGCTTCGCCACTGACCGGCACTTTCTGCGGATACTACACCCTCCGCTTCCTGCTTCGGAAGCTCATCATCCAAGTCCTCCAAGAAGCGTGTTTTGGGGTCATCCGGAAACCGGGGAACCAAGCAACGCGGGGGTGCCTTGGGATTGTCACACAATTGGTGCACAGGATAGCTAGTGAGCCATCTTGGACGGTCCTTGTCGTCCGATTTGGCCAAAGGAGGAAAGAAGCCCCTGGTTTCGAACCGATCACATCCCGGGACGATCAGGAACCCGGTTGCTGAGCTTTTGGCCGACTCCGTCTGATGGTCCTGGGCCCCTTTATCCTGCGAGCCGGACTCTGGCTCATACTCGCGCAAGATGGGGTCGACGACGCGACACCACCATTTGATCAGGCCGCGGTCATCTAGGACATGCTTCTGGGGGTTGTCAATGCTGCCAGGGAAGAGATATTGGTTTTGCGCCCGGGCAAATAGCGAGACTAGCAGTCTGACACCCGGTCTCTGATGAGTTTTGACCAAAAAGGAGAGAAAGGTGTGAGAGATGCGCCGGAGAATGGAAACCTTGGGCGCATTGGGCAGGAGATGAAGGTAGCCGGTGGAGTCGGCCTTGGAAACGAAGATGGTGGTCAGGTGCGCAGTGCTGTACACCAGCACCTCCATACCAAAGACAATCACCTCCGCGCCATCTTTCTCCTCTAAATTGACCGAGGCCGACAGAAAGTGGTTTTCGCAAAAGGTCGGTTCCGGCGTCTCCCCGGGAGGCGCGGCGAAGAGCGCGGTGGAAGGGGAGGGAGTCGAGGAGACATGGCGAATGGTGAGCTGGACGGGGACCGGCAGCCCTTCGGCCAGCAGCTCGCCCAATTCTACATCAACCTGAGACATCGCGGATGGTGGCTTCCGCGGATGAAGGCCAGTGGATTTGTCCAGCGAGCGCCTGTGGCGTTCTCCAAGTGCTTTTTTCTTTCTTCTTTTCCTTCTTGTTCTTCTCCCTCCCTCAGACGCGTTCCATTTCACGGGCGATCACGTGCCGGTAATCTGACGGCCTTTCTTTGCAGTCCCCGCGTCTGCAATGTGCTGCTTACTCTAATTTTAATTGATCAATTGGATGGCTTCATATCATGACAGGAAGTTCTGGATATTTTTATTCCCTAAATATTAGTGAAAAGTCAGTCGTTGCTCGATCAAACGTATTCACTACTGCGCTGCTCCCGGATTAACATACTGCCTCTACCAAGGATCCCCACAACTATACTGGATGATCTGGACCACTCGATCTATACTGACTTGGAAGCACCCATTACCTACCACTGATAGAATAAACACTGCTCCCGCCTATACTTCTGCTCTCGTCGTGCAAGTCATAGCAGAGATACCCAATCAAGAACAGAGCAGTACTCTGCTAGAAATATAAGTAGAAATAAATGCTTTGGCCGTCATTTGAACATGAACCTTGTTATCCCCCAGCAATAGGAATGATAGTCACTGTACCTTCTTTTCTGTTAGTAGTAGTATCTGCCCAATATATGAGAACATCATCTTCCAGTCCAAATCTGAATCTCACCCTAAAACAACACTAGAACTATACCAAGCAACAAACGTACTCAAAAAAACTCCACCACAGCATCCAAATCATCCGCATTCAACAACCCAACCCCCTCCTCCAACAACGTCCTCCAGACAAAGTTCCTAGTCCGGATCGGATAATACGGCGTGCCCCAATACCTAGCACCAATGCCCCTCTCCTCTGCCGTCTGAATCTGCTCCCTCAGCGCCTTGATCTGCTTATCGCTGAGCTTCTCACCCTTGACGGGTCCCACGGCAGCCGCGAAATTCGTCGATGCAATGGGCGAAATTAGATCCGTGATATCGGCGTATTCGGGGTCAGCTAGTGCCTCGAGTGGCGCATCGTAGAAGTAGTCCCGGTCTGCGACAGGGCCGACCATGTCGAGCGGAGTGTTGCCAGTGCCAATGACGGTGACGGGGCCAGTGGTGATAGTGCTGTTGTCCTTAAGAGTGGTGAGGTAGCCCTGGTCGCGGAGAGGTTGGAGAGCAGATATTACGGCATTGAGGGTCTCCGGACCGGAGGTTTTGAGGTCGATGAAGAAGTAGAGTGTTTGGGAGGTGGAGGTGTCGAAGACGCCGCTGTTGGTGCTGTTAATTGCCTGCTTCTGGATGGAGTGAAAGGTGTTATAGGTGACTTACTTGTTGGTTGGGGTTGTTACAAATGGGCTACTGGGATTCTGGAGTTTAAGCACATCCAGGATTGGGTTGATGTAGAGGGATTCAAGGGTCCGGTCTTTCGTCAGGGAGGATTCGTCGTGACCGACCTGTGTTACTCTGTCAGGACTGGGTCATCAATTGAGGACGCGAGTGTGGAACTGACATAGAGGGTGTCGTTATAGAGCCATACATCGGCTTCTGTCGAGATGCATCCTTTGGATAGGCCTTTGGTAGAAGTGATCGGTTAGCTATGCTCATTGGCTATGCTAACAGGGCTGTGCCTACCCGTGTAGAAAGGTATGTCTCTCCAATAGTCACTGTCATGAAAATTAGCAAAGGGTCACAATATGGGACTTGTAAAAGTACTAGGTGATGAACTTACTTATGTGAGTGAACTGGGATCTGATAATGGAGTAATAAGCTTCCATTCTAAACTCTATTAAGGAAATATCATGATTGAAGCAGGAACAGCATCTCTGCCCAAGCTGAGACCACCATAATTCAAGGGAATACTCACGGGCATTATACCCCTGGTGAAATCCGTGGGATAGCCATAATCATTGCTGCCATGCGTGTTCTTCAATACGCTTTGGAGCTCCGTGGATCCTCCGGCGGCCAGTCTCGGATCGCCGAGCAGGAACGCGGACGCCGCGACAGCAAGCGATCGGGTGTGTACCATGGTCTATAGAGGAGTGTAGAGTACCAAGTCAATGAGTACAAGTAATAAGGATAGTCGTTATTCAAGATAATAATAGACAAATAATAAGATTAAATCCTAAGATGTCGGAGTCGGTCTCTTTCTTTGTTGCTGAGGATGAGAGACAAATAAAGGGAGGTCAGCCAATCGCGGCCTCACGTGGCGGCCAGTGACTCCCATGGGATGTAGATGGAAAACACGAGCAACCGCCGAGATCTTAACGGAGCAAATTGATAGCTTCTATCTTCAAGACAGAGGGTTAAATGTATGGATTCGACCTATCTAGATCTCAAGACAACACTTGGTTGGTTGGTAGGTGTGAGAAGGTAGTGGTAGGGAGCGGTGGCAGTGGAACAGGTGATGCATGACTACAGTAAATGTTTCAACATAGCATTCAATTCGACATGAACAATTTACTTGGATACTACAACAACATACATACAAAGCGAAAGGACAAATGAACATCCACCTCACGCTGGCTTTCTAAAGTAAAACTAAACTGCACACGAACCAGCCCATCTGCGAGACGCCGGGAAGGTATCATTCAAACATAAAAATCATTAGAAGAAAAGCTAACATAAGTAATGACACGAGCCATAGCCCAGCAAACCAAAGCTGCCAGAAGTCCGGCATAGCAGCCTCATACCTCCCGAATCGACGGCGGCCGAGAGCTAGTTTGAGACTCCTGTGTGCTGCTCCGCCGGAAGCTCAGGTTCCCGATGCGTTGAACCAAGTTGCTTCCTACGGCGTCCACGGCTCCCTTGGGCGCAAGTAACGTGGGCCCTTGCGCTGCCGCCTCCTGGACCTTGAACAGCTTAATATTGGTTCCGTTCCAAACTCCAACCGTGCCCGGCGTAGCGCCCGAGGCGGTGCCAACCACCATTTCGCTCGAGAAGATAAATCCCCAGAGCAGAGATTCGTACCAGCCCATTGAAAGGGCGGACCACTCAAACGAGTGGACGCGAACCGGCGATGGCTCTGAAACAATCGTATGGATTGCGGGATCTTCCAAGAACGACGGGAGGTTGCTAATCAAGGTTCGAGCTTCAGGGCTTGAAGCGGATCGGAATGCAGCCTCAGGGACGTGAGGAGCAATGGCGGAGACTATCGTGAGAATGGTATGGAGTGGCAGTTCGGCCAACCAGGATTCGAGCTAAAAGAAATCACTGTTAGTGGTGAAACACACGGATTAAGGTAACGAGAGCCACTTACCCATGCTGTAGTCGGCGTGAAACCACTGGAAGATGTCGGAAACGCCGCCGAAAGACTAATTTGGCTAGTCATGCTGTTCTGTCGCGAGAAGGACGGCTGTCCAGCAGGCATCTTGCCTCGTGCCTTCTCAGACATGCCGCGCAGCTGAAGGGGAACGCTTTCTTCAATGACAGAGGAAATCGATGGTCGACGAGAAGTCTGTACTGATGGCGAATCCTGCGCCGGTGTGTCCCGTCCCTCTCCTTCATCATCCGAATCCTCGTCTCCGCCAATGGCAAAAGGACTATTCTCTTCTGGTATGCGGCCCAATGGAGACCGCGTGTCTGAAGGCACCGGAGGTTCTTCCTCAGTGGGAGAAAGAACGGGACTGCAGACAAATTCATGCGAACCGCTTGAAGACTTTCTTCGCTCATTCTGGCGTTCTATCTCTTGTTGCCCGCTCTCCAGAGTGAATTCTCGCACTGCCTCAAAACGCTTTCTATACTTTAGAATAGCATACACCAGGAAAGGATTTTCTGAGCAGGTTAGCATGTTGCTTCAAGGGTTGCAACAAAATGACTTACTGGTAAACTGTTGTTCAAGGATTGAGTTGATAGACTCAAGGACCGAGGAGAGAAGGGAGTGATTTGTCTCGTTAGCCAGGAGGAAACTGGGCGCCGACATGGATGAGAAGAGCTGCAGCAACTTCGAGCACGAGCTTGGAGAAAGATGTTCGACATGCGGGGCTATGTTGTTGATGATAGCCAGAAGTGCAGGGTATACTGTGTTCAGCTTTCCTTTGCTGGCAGTTATCAAAGTGTGAATGGACTATACCACTGTCAGTTCATGCCACTAGTTTTCGAACCGTGAGCGACAAACCATGATCAAAAAATCAGCATAGGATCCCCGGAACCCAGGGATACGGATGCTCTGAGGGAGAGTCTCTTGAGCCTCGAACTTTGTGTTTAAGCTCTGGCCAAAATTGGGCTCCACGCTCATCGTCTGCATGATAAAGATGCACATTCTAACCACGCCCTGCTTAGAAGGGTCGGATTTATACTCGATAGCATAAAATATACAGAGAATAACAAAGTCGTGCGAGCGGTTCGAGTCAATAATGAAGGACCGGAATCGCTTGTTGCATTGCAACGCCTCCCAGAATAAGACGAGCATCTCAGGAGCCCATTTGACCGATCTCTGACTACCCGGAAGATAAGAGTTGGTCGCTTGCATCTATTCAAGAGCGAGTTAGCAGAGAGACTGGGTAGAGATAGAGGCAAACTGACCGGCTGATTCAAGATTCGGGTCATGCCATCAGTAAGGAATTGGAAGTCTTGCGGCCGATGTAATCTTCCAAAGTAGTGCCGATAATAGTTCTTCGGCGGCGCTCCGCGACCATCTTCTGGTACTGGATATAGAAGGAGTACGAGGAGAAACTGCAGACAATAGATGACCAATATCTGCTTGGGGTCTTTCCAGACAACATGATCATAGGGCACCCTCCACGAAGCAGGATTGTACTTGATAGCCTGTCGTAGCTTCGTTAGCACCACCCACACCTTTACACCCGCGTGTTATCAGAACGTACAGTGTTTAGTAGTGAGCAGAGTAGAGTTAAAACCACCTGCTTGTCCGAGCAAGTCGTCATGTACGTGATAGCCTTGACGCCTTGCACAGGAAGTAGACCTTCGATAGTCAGCAAGTGGTTCCCAACAAAGGGAAGACGATAACTCACTAGACGGCATGTACATTGCTTTTCCCGTCAAAGTAAGCAATAACCGTAGGATCTCGCAGCGGTTGTTCTCCAACTCTTTTGTAGAACCCATTGACGTATTGCAACCCACACCACTCTGCCAGATCGAGTACGACACTTTGCTCTTCGCGGTGGGCAGCGGTGGGATCGTGAAGTTAGTGTAGAAAAGAAGCTCCAGCAGATTGTCGATCAACTCCTCAGCTAAGGGTTTCGCATCTTCAAAACCCGTCGATCGCGGGGCTGTCTGGTCTGGGTCCTCCGCCTGCGCTTCATCGAAAAGTACTTCCGCAGCCACCTGCGCCTCTCTGGTCCTCTTCTTGCGACGAGCCCAGAAAAATTTCTCCTCCCATTCCTCCAGGTGTTCAGCCTCGTAGACAAAGGGGAGGAGGCGGGTGAGGATGCGGATACAATTGAGCGCATCGCGGTCGGGGGCGAGTTCGGGGTCAGGAAAAGATGGATGATTTTTTAATACGGTGAGACGTGAGGTGACTGAGAGCAAGAGAGTTTCAAAGTTGGATAAGGCATGATCGCGAGTTCGTCGTATATCGGCAGGCGTGAACAGGCTGAAGACGTCCTCTGAGGACTCTGGGAGCTCCCAGAACTACACGAATCGGTCAGTAAGCCACTTCGGCGTCACAAAAGAGCTGGAGCAAGAAAAAGGAAGGCAAACCCTGGCCCAATAGGGATCATCCGCAGGAATGTCCTTCTCCTCTGAAAGACGGAAGATGCCCTGCTTGAAGACGAGCTTGGACTCCGAAGCTCCCATGGTGAAGTCTCCAGCGAAGATCACGGAATTATTGACCTCATGCAGTAAAGCAGCACTAGGATCTCAGGAAGAATGTCCGGTACGAGGGTAATCCTCGAGGGTGATTTGCTTGGGACGTAAGCCCAATAGTTTGAGGCCGCGTGTGAATGAATGAACTTGTGGCATGTTGGCGGTCTTGGGGTCAATGCCTTGGAAGCGGGAACTAGGCCCGCGGAGACCCGGAGGATCGACTGGGGAACGAACCTCAGCAGAACCTAACACACCGTCTCCTATTTTAGAGTACGCGGCGATCGAGTCGCAGTCTCTCGGAGATTATTCGAGATTATTCTTAGGAAACGGACCCTTTCTAAAAGTACATCATGCAACATGCAACATCATAACAAAATACGGCCTAAAAAGGTATTTCCGAAGCACCCCGCTAGAAAACACGAGTTTACATGAATCGTCTCTTGTTCTTCCCTAAGACCAAAATCAAGACCAATAATCTGGTCCAAATCAAAGGCTACCATTGCTTGCTGACAGGCGCCGGCTCCGCTCATACAGCCACTTGTTGCTCAAACCCAGGCTCACACGCTTGCCACCCACCGGTGAAGGAGTCGCGGGCGCAATGCTGGACATACCGGAAAATGTCGACATGGTCGATTCCCTGAATGTGGATGTAGAGTCTTTGAACGTAGACTCTTTAAAAGAAGATTCTTTGAAAGGCGAAAAGGATGAGCTGCGCCCGAGCGGAGACGAAGATCCAAAGCTCGGCCTCCGCCCGCTTTCCTTGCTACCATTTGTGACCACTTTGTGCAATAACGGGCTCGGAGAGGGTGAGAAAGAAGGTCCTGACGATAGCCTGTGTCCGGAAGCGCCAGCGCTTGCTGACAAGGGGGAACCGGATCTGCTAGCTGGGCTGGCGTTCCGAGACGCAGAAAGTCGGTACCTAGGCGGAGTAACGTACGTCGTGCCCGGAGTAAACGATTGTGTGGCGGAGGGATCCAGCCCCAAAAGCGAGCGTTGTGTAGGGGTCAAGGGAATATCGGAGAAATTGTCTTTCGGGCGGAAAAGAGGGTACAAGGCAACCAGGATATTCAGAGCAAAGATGACTTGTAGGACTAGCAATGAAAGATCGGGGTATGTAGAGACCGGGCCAATTTTCTGAAGCCAAAGCAAACTGTTGCGACGCTGGTTAGAATGCCCCTGGAACCGCGCACCTGAGGCGCCTGCAAGCACTCACTATGACTTGATGGTGTCTCCAAACACCCACGTCGCAAACAAAGCGGCTGTGTTCCACACAAGCTTATTGATATTGCGATCTCCGAATGTACCAGCATTCTGTCGACGGACGACCTCGTTCAAATGAGGATGACGCCACTTCCCGGGCGTCTGAGAGCCATCGGGCGTCGCTATAGACGCAGATGCAGCTTTCGGGGTAGAAGGAGGGGCAGGGGACGCCATTGGTTTATATTTAAAAGGGGAGTGTACGCTGGAATGAAGACGACACTACACCGTGTCAGTATGGCATCTTGTTACAGAGATGGGCAAAGGGAGGCATGGTCACTTACCTGAAATAGGAAAATTGCTGTTGGACTTACCTGTAGTTGAATCAATTGCGAAATGGAAATATACTTGTCCTAACACATCGGTGACTATTGGATCTTTGGTGACAAGATTACAGAGAGGGTCCCGACAGGATCATGGTCACAGGGGAGGGGCAGGCAGGACTCGGGACAGAGTGAATGTGAATGGGGCAGCGACTGATTGTTTTGATGATAAGTGCGCCGGCAAGGGTCACTGGCAACCACAAGCGCCTTTGGCGCGAAGTTTTCAGCCAACCCGAATCGGGAGCTTTCAGCGGCACTAGTCAGCTTAGGCGCCGCGGCTCCCCACATCTGGCATCATAGCCATTCTTCCATAAGCCATTAGCCTCAGCCCCGGCTCAGCCCCCTCACGTCACTCACTACTCTTCCCTCATTCTCACTCGATTAAAGAAGGAGAATTTCTTTCTTTCAATTCGTGTATGGATGCTTGACACGCCACACTAGATACACTCACTCTCCCCATAATGGACTCCAATCCGTCCATCGTGGCCAAGCTCGATGCCTTTGCGGCAGAGCTCCTGGCTGACTGGAACATCTACACTACTCTGATCGCGGGCGGCATTGTCGCCTTCCTCGTCTTCTCCTTCGTCACCTCCAAAGATTCCGATATTCACCCTTTCCTACTCGCTCGCCAGTCGACTGCTTTTCCCGTACGACAGCCCGGTGAAACTGCTCAATACCGCAGTCTCGAGACTCCGCACGGTTTCCCCCTCCGATCCGGACTCAACGTCAAGGATCCCGGCGCTCCGAGATGGACAAGCGGTCGCAAGGGTGATCTGCGCGACATCTGGAAGGCCGCCGTGCGGGGTGCAGTGGGAGAGGATGGCAAGGGCTCTGGTAAACAAGGAAAGATCTATACCGTCCTCGGCAGGAAAGCAATCGAGCATTCCTTGGAGCAAGTTACCCAAGAAATCAATGTCATTGGAAGTCGTTTGCAGTCCTCCAAGGTGAACACGGTCGCCGTCTGTCTGACAGACTCGGTTGAGCTTCTGGCTTCTATCTTCGGTTCGAAAATCCTTCATCTGTCCACTGGCTCTATTCGTTGCTGACGAGGTCTCTAGCGGGCGCTTTCTACGGTCTCAAGACAATCATCATCCCCCACAACCTGGACGCCGAGTCTCTTTCAAGTCTTCTGAAGGAGTCTGGAGCGGAGGCTCTTATCGCGGAGGCCGGCGCTCTTGACCTATCTCTCGTCGCCAAGGGTAATGATCAGCTCTCGCAGGTCATCTGGGTTGCAAAGCTCGGAAGCAGACACATGGACTGGAACGATGTCCCCGAAGATGTCAAGGGTACTCTGGAGGTTCGTGTCTGGCACGAGCTGGTTGAAGAAAAGAAGGACCTTACCGGTCTTGATGTTCCCAGCTGGGACCCCAGTACTCCGGCGCCTTCCCTCACCACTGTTTGGCCTTCCAAGTCGTCCGCAGGCGAGTTCGTCGAATATCAATCAGAGGTAGGCAATCTTGTGTCAACACATCCGGCTCGATCGAGCGCTAACATGGGAATAGAACTTGATTGCGGGTATTGCTGGAATTATGTTCTCCCTCCCTCGTCCTCAGCGGCTCAACCCCAACGATCTCCTTCTCTCGATTGATTCCCTCTCGCGGTCATACCCTCTGTGCCAAGTCATGGCTGCACTGTACTCGAATGCGTCCGTTGCCCTCAACTCGGTTGCTGGAGAAAGCGTTGACTTTGCTCTCGCCACTGTTGGATTGTCCCCGACTGTCATTGTTGCTTCTTCGCGCACCATGTCTGAATACCACAGCAAGTTCATGAAGCCGCATTCCGGGTTTGTTTCTCTCTTTTCTCGCTGGATTCAGGTGCGAAGCCTGGACTCCGGCTACATGCCCTCGCACGGTTTGCTGAACCAGGTGGCCAACGTCGGGCCCACCGCCGAACTCTCGCTTGATAAGCTGCGTCTGCTGTGCATTTCGCACCGTGTTAATGCCGACCGTGAGGCTCAGCTGGACTATGAGCAACTCGCAGATTTGCGTATCCTCACCGGAGCACGCGTGGTGTACGCTTTGACCGGTCCCGGGGTTGCTGGTGCTGTTTTCCAGACCAATGTTTTCGACTATCGCCGCTTCCAAGGCTCGAGCCACTTTGGTGCGCCTCTGAGCAGTGTCGAAGTTGTGTTGACTGGTGGGTCGGGCGACGAGGCAAAAGAAGAGGGCCAGGTAAGCCAGCCAACAGCCATGCATCTCATTCATCCACTTACCAGTTACTTAGATCACCGTATCCGGTCCTTCTGTCATCTCTGGCAAGACCACCTTGGAAGGACGTGCTCGCATTCGCGATGATAACACCTTTGAACTCCTTCCTTAGTCCGCTTGTCAAGCAAGTAATGAGCGTTTGAGCATATATTCCGGGTTCTTTTTTCTTCCCTGTTATCAACCCTTTCATCCCTGACCAACCCACCAGCAAATCACCTCATCACCTGCATCATAACAATTGAACCTTAGCAAGCACAGCTTAGTTTGTCTCAGAAAGAATGAAAGGAAATGGCATCTATCTTCAAATACAGATACAGCTCCGAACGATCCAAAATGGTAATATACAGTAAAGATAAAATCAGCTGAAAATGGCAAAATGTAGAAGACACCGGCTCTAGTTCTCATGAAGGAGCTGAGCCTGCGCCAGACCCAGCGAAGGTTTCTTCTGAATCTCCTCAGGAGCGCTCTTCTTCTGCTTGGCGATCAACTGACCCAGCTCATTCAGCCGGTTCTTCAAGCCCGGAGCAACCGTCTTGTCATTGGCAATGCCCTGCACCTTCAGCGCAAGCTTCATACCATTATAGATTGGCACATTCTCCTGCAGCATCTTATCCACAGCGCGCCAATCCTGGACATCACTAGCAAAGTTACCCATCTTCCAGCACCCCAGCACCCGACTACTGTAGATGCGCACCAGACCACCCTGATCCTTACCCTCGAACTCACTCAGCGCCCTAGCAGCACTCAACTCCAACAACGTCCCCGCCACAAACGGCTTCCTCTTGGGATCAACCAACACATCATGCTGAACATGTGGCGGCCGCTCCATCAACCCAACCAACTGCGTCGCCAGATTGAAAGCCTTCGTAACCTCCGGGCCCTGGAACTCCGCCTTCTGAGCCTTGCGATGCAGCTCAAAGAACAACCGCTGCACAATCCCGACCTCATTCAGCTTCACGCCCGTCCTGTCCGCCTGCTTCGCGGCTTCCACCACAAAGTTCACCGCATTGTGTTCGCCCGCCTTCCGCACCAGCCACTCCAACCGGCTAGGCTTCAAGTGCCGGTTGGCCATCTGTAGTCCCGACAGGAACGGCACCAGGTTCTTCCAGTCATTCTTGCTCTGCATCAGGCTGATCACCTCCGCGGCTTCTTTGAGCGTCGGTCGTGATTGCGGGTCCATCGGGCGCAGGAGGAAGTCTTCGTCCTCGCTTATGTTGGCCGTCACGGGCTCTTGCTCCAGTCTGTCGGCGTATTTCTGGCGGAACATGAGACGTCGTTGGTCCTGGCCGAGACCGAAGGGTATGAAGAGCTCTTCGCGGAACCGGGTGAGGGCTTGGTCCAGCTCCGGGGACGAGGTTTGTTGGAAGGTAGGGACGGCTGCGGAGGAAGAGTCCGTTAGTTCCTCCATCTGCTCAATTCGAAGCCGTATAAATCAGACACAATACATACCATTTCTAGAAGCATTGCGCGTCTGTGTAAGCGACCCAATGGATTGACGCAGAGTCGTGGAATTCTGGCTGCGGAAGAGCCTTCCCACGGCGTTTTGCGCCATCGTTATGTGAGAAGGACTATATATTCAACGGACCACAAAGAAAGAAGAAGAAGACAACAGTCCGGAGGAAACCTTCTCACTCAATCGCTCGAAAAACAAAACCACCGGGGTCGAGCAAGTAGATAGATAGATAGATAGTTATTTGGCGGCAGAAAAGTTCCCGAGCGTCGAATCTGGGACTGATGGCCCAAACAGGCAACTCGCGGCTTGGCGGAAATTCTGCCGGTCCGAATTTCTCGATCCGCCGCCCTCCCAAGTTCCAAAGCATCAATCACAATTGAACCTGTGTCTTGCTTCCTCAAACGCCAAGGTGGTCGAATTGCACCAGGGAACAAGCCATGGCGTCTTCTTCCCCGATTCTGCAGCAGCTGGGCTGCTTCCGCTCCCTCCTCCTGAAGCCCCAGTCGCTGTCGTCCACAACCACCACCGTCAACAACCAGATCGGTCGCCGTGCGCTCAGCACCGTCTACTCCGCGAAGCCTGAGCCCAAGCCTCTCCCTAAGAACCTGCCGGAGCAGTTCCTTCGTCAATTACCGCTTCGCATGCGGCCGAACCCTGGTATGGATTGACTGAACAATCTTCTTCCATTCATTGCTTGGACTTGCGTCCCGAACTGCCAATGCGGAATCATATATCTAACATGTGTTTGATGAAACGGAAATACAGAGCGCAAAGAACGCAAGATCCCCCCTCCTCCGCCCGCCCCTCAGTGCAAGGACCCCGTGAACGCCGTGCAAGAGGCCCAATTGGCGCAGCTGGATCCCACGGGCGAGCGCCGCGCTCTTTTCGACTACAGACGGAGTCCTCGCAGTGTCAAGGTCGGAGATATCCTGCGGGTGACGTTCAAGAATGGAGATCCGTTCTCCGGTGTTTGTTTGAGCATTCGGTTGCGCGGTGTTGATACGTCGTTCTTGTTGCGCAACCAGTTGACGAGAGTTGGAGTTGAGATGTCGATTAAGGTGTTCAGTCCTAATGTTGAGAGTGTGGAGATTGTCCAAAGGGCGGAGAAGAGGAAGAGACGCGCGAGGTTGTATTACATGAGGTGCGTATTGAATTCCTTGTGGATAGTGGGTTTGGGTTTGGGAATGCTAACGAGATCTACCCTTCGGGTTTATAGGAAGCCCAAGCACGATATGGGCAGCGTCGAGAACCTCGTTGCCAACTACCTCCGACAGAAGAGATCGCTTACCGGCAAGAGGGGCGGTGGCCAGACGAAGAGACGGTAGACTCGGTCAGCATAGTTTGGACTTGGGTATATTTGGCGCGAATGAATGTGTATTATTACTAGCATATGTGTGTATATTGAATTTCAGTCCCGGTTTTACTTTTGGGGCGGATAAGGATGGTTCTTGAGATGTTTGTTGCAGATCATGATATCTAGGTGAGAGGCATGTGAAGAGAAAGATAATGAATTGGCACATGTAGACCTTCCTGCTACCCATATCGTCTACCATTGTTTAGCCTAAGGTTCGAGACTCGCTATATGAATATCTAGCGAGCTTGGTGACAGCTCTAACCTCATATTGCGC